AGTCGCTCGATGCTGAGGTCTTATGTTCAATTACGACTTTGGAATCACTCACAACAGTTCTCTTACGACCAATAGTGCTTGGAGTCTGCAGTCCTAATATTAGTAGTTCCGTGCTAATAATGGAAGGATTTATTTATTTATTTATATCAAATGGCTGGCGTTTTGATAGTTATCATTATCCCTTTAGTTGACTTCGGGCTTCACAGAGGGGAAGGAACATCAAAGTGAAAAAAAGTCGAGAGGAGGGGGGGGGGAACAGAAAAGTGTTTCAGAGACAGCTACAAATGTAGAGAAAAAGGTGAGGTGAGTACTGTGGAAGTGGTCGAATATGTCATACAGTGGGGTCATGGTAGTTTGAAGTCAACTACCGGTTAATAGACTTTTTTGCTGTATGAGTATACGTTGCCCAGGGTGCACCACAAGGAGGTTAGTCTATCGCACACCCCATAATGGAAAGGTTAATGCCTTATATGCTGCGACCGTTTTTCACACTGGTTTTCGCTTTTATTCTCTTGTATGATGCTGGGGTATACATAGAATTTTCGCTTACAATACGGTCTTCGTGTGAAGCTTATTTGCATATTCAAATATGTCATTAGTCTTTTTTTATTGCATTAGACGTTTCGTCTTTAAAAATGAATTTAAGACTGAAAAGATTGAGAATAGTTAAGGGATAAAACAATACTATGATATTCGGTTGAACTATAGTAGATGGAAAGATGAGCATATGATAAAAATTAAAATAAGCGCGACGAATAGCGCAAAGTTGGACTATAATTTGCTGCTTTGTATTGCAGGCACTGGGTCCGCCAAACGTCGCTGGAGTAGATTTTGATGCGGATGAACTAGAATCAGAGGATATTGACTTAACAGAGATTGAAACCACTCAGGGATATGGCAAAAAGTAAGTTTATTGCTCGGCTTTGAATTGACTTTATATTTCACTTTTGCCTTGCGTACACGAGGCTTTGCTCTAAGCCATTTGTCGACGCTAGTACACTTCGAGATGGTCATTTTCTAGGCATTTCGCACCGAGACGATACGAGTGTAATATCCAAGGCATTTATTTTTAAGGGTTCGTAAGTTGCTTTTAATTCTGCCTTTAAATAATTCACTAAGTGAACTTGCTTTTGATTATATTTCGTGATTATATGAAGCCACGTGTTTTATATGGTTTGTGCTAATTCAATTAGCTGCTTTTTGTGTTAACCAATTCCATTACTCCTGACCCGTCCAGATTTATCTGAAATCAACTTTTTATTTTGATATGGATAAAAATCGAGTGTACACTACCAAAGTCTTGTGGCAATGTATCACAAGAATGGCGATTTATGGAACTTCAAATTTACGGACACATTTTTCTTTCACTGACCGATGTGTCTTTTCTGAGTCTTTTTTTAATTTTGCCTACATTCCGCAATATTTGGAACTTGGTCTATACGCTAGTAATATCTGCAGCTGAGGCAGTCGTGTTCCTCCAGAGTTGTTGCTTTTATATTTCATTTGATTGAAATATGTTATATGAACTTATCGAAGCCACAAGTTACTCCACTTATTCAGTGTATACAATTGAACGACTATTCTAATTCATTATTGCCTCGACGTTTAAGAAAAGTACACATGCATTTTCATCTAGCGTCAACACTCAATTCCACCCTTTATGTGTGTGCGTGTGTGTGTGTGTGTGGGGGAGGGGGTATTTTTTATTGATATACTATTTTAGTGTTATATGACATTGGCTACCCATTTTTCTCGGTCAACTTCTACTTGAGCTCTTCTTTATGGTGGTGAATTGGAAGGCTTTAGTTCACATTTTATTTTTACAATTTTTGCCATCTTGATGTGGCTGATAGGTACATTGATCGCTATGTCATCTGTGTCTACGTTTTTTTAATACTTGATACATAATTTAATAGGTGAAATTGAGGACAAATACGCCTTTGCTCGCCATGTTCCTAAATCAAGTTACCTCAGCTTATTCGATAAAATGCTTCGTCACTGTGTATGTCCTTCAGGCTATACGCCAAGAATTCCTATTTTATGACAAGCGATTAATAATTGTGACAAGGGGTTGGAGGAACATAGGCTTTAGAGTTAAAGTAAATTACTGTTGCGATATTTCTGCAATTAAGTGATCAGCTTTCCGGGTGAGATAACTTTAAACGAAAGATATCTAACAGTACAAACGGGTTGAAAGGGCCAAATTCATTTAGATAATATGCGGATTTTTTCGTTTAGGAAAAATCGAAGTTAAAATTGTGGGCAACGACTGGGATTGCGTGTGTTTGTTACAATAAAAAAGAAAGTGATAGTAATTTGGTTTTTTTAATTCCAGTGCGTTTCCGTTCCTCATTAATGCCTTTACAGTGAACTCTGTCCATTCGGAACTCTTAGCGCTCAGCTTCCTTTGAAAAATTGTGGTTGTCTGTTGCTTCCACATAACTGGTAGTCTAGGACAAGGTGATTTAGTAGAAGCCGAGAATGGAAGATTAAATCACGTTTTACACCTATTTTTCTTGACGAATATAGTTAATTGACTAATTTTCTAATATTCCCAGATTTATAGCGCCAAATAAAAATGAACTATTAGGATAAATGTGGTTTTAGCGCCTAGTGCCCAAGGGTTCTAGGTTTACATTTGTGACTGATTTAAATTCCCATTTATTCCTCAAGTTGTGAGTCATGGTATCTCAAATAGATTTTCGAAGAACATGTTGAAAATACGTGTTTCCATGTTATAGCAAGAATCAGAAAAGTAGCTTTCATGTAGCAGAAATCGATTGCCTTCCTTGACCCTAACGTTGTGAATTTTCCCTTGAATCTTAGAGCCAATCTGACTATGATCGATCCAATTTAGTGATAACAAAATCGGAATTTGTGGCGGAATCTAATGTGTGTATGGAGAAGTTTTCTCTGTTTCTGTCCTGTTAACCATGTTAATCCATCAACATGTTCGTTTTACACAAGCTTGCATTTGCATTCAAAATAGCCCTTAACAAAACAGAAACAGAGAAAGTATTTATTCTTGCAGAGACGGGATCCAGCCAGGTAATATAATGGACGCTCTGGCTACTCTAAATCCAAACAAATTCGGTTCATCAGAAACTGCAAAAGTTCCTTCTGAGAGGAAGCCCAAGGACATTAGCCAATTCAAGCGTCTACCAACACCAGGCGATGTGAATTCCAGCACAACCCCCGCATACATGCTCCTTAATACTCGAGGCATCAATGCCGGTTTGATTGGTCTTCAAAATTCCGCCATCGAGTCTTCAAATGGTCCCTCCTCAAGTTGTAGTGGTGGAAGTACTTCAGCAACTTCAGTCTCTGGGAAAAAAAAGTCAGCTCCCCCTCCCAAAAAATTGGCAGACATTGGTGCCAGGGCTGAGGAGAAACACCATAAAATGATGGCCAAGAGGAAAGAGAGGATGAATTTATTCGGAGCTGCTGGTAGTCGATTAGATGACCTGGATGCCTTCTTATTTAGCGATGATGATGACGGTGATAATGAGAAGCCTGGGAAACATGACAAAAAAGGCGAGTTGATTTTGCAAAACCGTTTCTACTGAAATACTTTTAGTAGGTATGATCACTTTATTTAGTCTTGAACAAGTAAATCTGCATACTGGAAAGAGCGCAAGGTAGCATTTGAAGATGATTTTCACCACTTTCTTCCACTTATCCCATGTTGCCACTTTTTATTTTAGCGAATAATTTCCACACTAATTTTATAACGCCGTGACTTTGTTGCACTTGTAGCGGATTGATACATTACTCAGCCTTGACCATACTCAGAAATCTCTCTGGTAGGTTCTCTAGTGCACTTGAATACGCTATGCCTTTCCCCTATCATCTCTATGACAAAATGCCCTAGTATGGAATGGTTCCCGAAATTATTTAAGTTGCCTCAAGTTTAATGAGCCTATCTGAGAAATTCTTGTTCACTGCGCCGAAATGCACGCGCATAGCCATGTAGTAGGAATATCGTGAACATTGTGAATAAAGTACTACCAAGACAGTATATTTTTACCCTCGTAGAGTAATGGAGAAGCAGTGAAGGTGCTATACGAGTGGGTGTAATTCCTGTAAATTTGCCCCTAAGTAAGTATTGTCCCTTAAGAAGCTTCCGAATTTATAAGGTTGTGTGTTGGCTAACCGGCGAAGGTTGTCAAGATTTCTCCATTTTGTGCTAATTTTCCCTATGGTAAGTATTGCCTTAAAAAGTTGCCTTATGGAAGTAATGTCTACGCGTGGCAGTGTGTCCTGTTGCCCCACGTATACGTTTATTTGTTCATATGAATTTTGGAGCCATTATATTCGTGCAATCTTTATCAACCACGGGCATTATTTAGTGCTAAAAGTGGTTGAGCGATTGGGTGCTTGAGTGTTTGACTGCAATGGCCGAAATAGACATGTGCATGCACTGCAACTCCCAAGGCTAAGAGTCAACAGCATAAGTATGCTTGAAGATATGTGAGACGTATGAGTGCATGAATAAATAAAAAATTGAATGAATGAATGTGGCTCAAAGGCTCAAATCCATACGTCTAGAAGGGATAGGACTCAATACCTCGGAATCTGATAGCTGATCCAATACTCATCTCTCCCCGGCAAAAAATCTAGTCCGCTACAAACGATTTTGTGCCCCCAACGTTCATTTTACAATTGGATATCGTATCAATCTCCATGCCGCAACATCATTGCGGTTCGATGCACATGGCTATGGTTAACGCTCTGGCTTACCATTGCTGTTGTCAGAACAATCAGAAGTTGGCGAGGAAAGCTGGCTGGCCCGTCCCAACTCTCGTGGATGAAAGTGTAACGGTTGCAAATCCATGTGGCAGGCCGTAGGAGTGCATCATGGCGTCGTCTTTGGGTGGAATTCAGTCTTAGAGGCGTTCAGTCGTGAACCCTCAGATGGTAGCTTCGTACTATTGGCCGATCGCGACCAGGCTCATTTACCAAATGTCAGTACCTGCGGTTCCTCTCCTAGTAAACAGGATTTTCGTAGAAACGACCAGATTGTACTCACTGGTAACACAATATTGTTTCTTACGACGGTGTAAGCCCAACTCACGTTCCCTGTTAGTGGGTGAACAAACCAACGCTTGGTGAATTCTTCTTTATAATGGTAGGAAGAAGCGCCGACATTGAGGATAAAAGGCGACGTCGCCTGCTATCCCTGTGGTAACTTTTCTGACACCTCTTGCTACAAACTCTGAAAATCGAATGACCAAATGGATCTATAGGCCACTCTTTCACACTTTTGCCCTTTTACTCTACGCCAGGTTTCTGTCCTGGCTAAGCTCACCTTGGGTCACCTGCGTTACGATTTGACAGATGTACCGCCCCAGTCCAACTCCCCACCTGGCAATGTTTTCATATCATCGTGGTCGCACGTCGCAATCGTACCTAATAGCGATCCGGAGCCACCCACCGTCACATGAAAGGAGCAGCAACGGACAACCGGCTACAAGTAACTAGACGCAACCGAGACCACCAACGCCGATGCCAACTACGCGAACGCAGCAACATCGACACGAGCATATGCTCCACAGCCAATATAGTCACCATATGTATATTGTGTCAACAATGGTTGGAGCGGTCTTTCATTGTCATTGACAATTGTTGAACCCAACGTTGCCAATTATTTGCTACACCCACCGCTATGACTCTTCACTAAGTCGTGGGATTACAGTCAATCTCCACAGGGTCTTCTTTTCCCCCTGATTCTGCCAAACCCGTTGCCTTGGCTGTGGTTTCACTAGGTAGTAGATAGTTTGAAGTGGTAGTAATCTCCTCACTCCATTCCTGCACATCACTAATCAGTTGTTATTTTTACCTAAAGGCGCTACTGCTGAATTGAATTAAGTAGGTGGGTTTATTATTTGTAGATGATATTCTCAATGCGGGAGGTGGAAATCGCGAGAAAGTAGCTGAAGCTCAGAAGCAAGCTCGAGTGATTTCTGGGAAGGAATTCGCCGAACGGAAAGCACGAGAGAAAGCCGCTCGGGAAAAGCAGCTGGAGGCGGAAGCGAAGAGGAAAGCAAACGCTCAGCAGAAAGCACAAAAAGTTGAACGGCGGCGACATTGAGTCAATTTGTTTCCCTTGCCCCTCCAGGCCCCACCCCTTTCTCTCTTTGTGCATTGTTTCTACTCTATGAAATTTATCCTGTGAAATATACTTCTCGTGTTAGCGATCGTGTATCCGTGGCCTTTTCATATTGACTTCTCGGAGTTGCGTTGTTATTTTTTGAAGTATTATAGGAGGTAGGAGGAATATTGAGGACTTTACTTAAATCATTCATTTCTAAGGTTAAGTGAAAAGGACCTAATGGTATTGGATAAGTGACATTTGGGCTATCCTAAACTGATTTAGGAATATTCTCAACGACTTATTATCATTTTAGCCTTCTTGAATCGCTGAAATCTTTGGTCCTATCTATGAGCAAGCATCCAGACAGAAGAAGCGGTGAAATGGTTTGGGAATCCGTCGAATAAAAGATGAGCCGACGTTAGAAAAGCAGAGGGACTGGTTTATTTACCCCTGTATTCATCAATTTTCCACTTTTATTGAGTTGGATCCAGTGGAGTTTTGTGGATTTTGGTGTGGTTTAATGCACTATCAATGCCTGGGGTTGAACTAGGGCGTGTCAAAGACAAGTCAGTCGAAGGACGCATAAGTAATACTGACCATCTTCTGTCGATTTGCTTTAGACCAGATGGCCCATTGCATCTGACCAGAATATATATATATATATATTTATTTATTTATTTATTTATATCAAATGGCTGGCGTTTTGGTAGTTATCATTAACCCTTTAGTCGACTTCAGGCTTCACAGAGAGGAGGAGGAATATCAAAGTGAAAAAAGTCGAGAGGTGAGGGGGGGGGGCTGAACAGAAGTGTGATTCATAGATGCAACAGAGTCAGGCAGACATAAAGACAGAGGAAATGAAAGATGAATACTGTGAAAGTGGTGGAATATGACATAGAGTGGGGTGATGGTAGTTTGAAGTGAGAAGTCAACTGCCAGTTAATAGACTTTTTTACCGTATGAGTATACGTTGCCCAGGGTGCACCACGTGGAGGTAAGTCTATCCCACACCCCTGAATAT